CCGGGAACGGCGCGTCCGCCTTGGCGGGGCAGCCGCGGACGGGGCAGCCGCTGCGGCCAGGCCGCTCGCCGCAGTCGGAGATCCGCGCACCAGCCTGCCGGGTCCAGCGATGCCAAGAACCCGAGTGCCCAGGTTCTGCCCGTTGCCCAGGGTGGGGATGCGCCGCTCCCAGCCCCGGGACCCGCCGTGGCCAGCGCACCCCGCCCGGACGGCGGGCCTTGCACGTGCTCGCGCCGTCTGAGAGCAGGCCCCTGCAGTGGGGGTCCCTCTCGGGGGTCCCCACCCCGCCGCCTAGGAATGCCGGGCCAGGGGGCGCTCCTCCGGGCGTCCCAGAGCTGCCCCTTCTCAGGAGGGGGAGTGCTAGCTTTGTTGGTGGCCGCGACCCTAGCCAGCCCAAGCCCCGCAGCCTCCTGTGCGCAGGGCACTTCTACTGGGCAGAATGAAGGCGGGCGCACGTGGGGACAAAAGTAGCCCGTTATCCTCGACCCGCTGCTGTGCTGCATGTCGTGGGCACAGATAAACAGAGGCCCAACCACTTAGCCCATGCAGTAACTGCCCCAGGTCCCACGGTCTTGTTCTGTTGGGTGATGGCTGTAGAAAGTGGTCATTAAAGGTGCTGTCCGGAGGCAGACCACTTGGGTTCAAATCCCATTCGGACCATGTACTGTGACCTTGGACAAAATAAGGGGCCTCTCGGTGTCCCTTGTTTTTCTTGGAAAGCGGGGTGCTTAGTATTTCCTTCCTGGAGCCCTGGCGGTGCTGTAGGCTATGAAGTGACCTGCCCACCGTAAGGTCAGCGGTTCAAACCCACAAGTCGCTCCACGGGAGGACGATGAGGCTGACCGCTGTCAAGATGTACAGTCGTGGACGCCTCAAAGAGCAGTCCTCTGCCCTGTAGGGTCACTATGTCGCGGAATGAACAGGATGGCAGTGTGGTTTTCCTTTTTGTGTGTGTGTGTGGGGGGTGTTTTGAGTCCCAACGGCATGGGATTTTTGTGAGGTGGCACAAGCAGGCACCCAGAGCAGATTTGGGCACGAGTCCACACTTGTGGGCTGCCTTTAGCATCGATGGCTTTTTTCTAAGTGAGTCCCTCGGGCCGTCACTTGGGTGCAGCTCACCACTCCCCTGACCCCATGGAGCTCGATGACCAAACGTGGAGTTAAACTTCTGACTCCACCCTGCCTTTTTTTAATAGCTGGAAAAGCCTGTGTTGTGCTAATATTCTAGAAGAATTCGAGATAGGAGAGAGAGGCATTGGCGAATGAAGACTATAAAGGGAAGGAAGGACCACCAAAGGTAAGGGGGTGATGAGGGAGCTGGGGACTCGAGAGGTACCTGCAAGCCACCTGAGAAGTCGCTCAGCACCCTCTGTCCCCAGGGTGGTCCCTGGCGGCCAAGCGCTCGCTCTGCCACCCCAGGTCCCCATCCTGGCCCTGACACTTGCAAACTATGTTGACCTGCTTCAGGTTGGCTCCCTTACTGTGTGCCTCCGTTTTCTCCTCTGGAAAATGTGCGTAATAATTGAACCCACTTGTCCACAGCATGCCAGGGATTCATGCAGCTAATGCGTACAGAACGGGAGAAGAACTCTTCTCTGGCACACACTAGAGTGTGCTAGAAGAACACTAGCACGGGTTCTCAGCCTTCCTGACGCCGCGACCCTTTCATGCAGTTCCTCATGCTGTGCTGACCCCCAACCCTAACACTATTTTCCTCGCTACTTCATCGCTGTCATTTTGCCACTGTGATGAGTCCGGCGACCCCTGTGAAAGGGTTATTCCTTCGACCCCCAGAGGGGTCGTGACCCACAGGTGGAGACGTATTGGGTCAAGGTTAACTGTGGTGCTCTGTGGTCTGCTCTGTGAAGCCAGCACAGCCTGGGGCTCGGCGGGGTTCATGGCAGAATCAGCAGCAAACGGGCTTTGCCAAGCCTCCTAGTCACTCAGTCCACAGGACTGAGCACCCGAGGGCCCTGCCACAGAAAGAGGGCTCTGCAGGGTCTGAGCCCGCCCTTCAAAGAAGTGAGAGGGGCTCCCTCCCCAGCGGAGGAACCACGATTTATGTAGTTGCTTTTTAAAGAAGTTACATTGGCGTATAAGGCACATCCCACACAATTTAACCATTCAGTCATATTAAGATTTCAGAACGTTTTCTTCTCATCCTCCTTGTTGTGAGCCCCGTCCCCCACCCCCACCCCGGCCGGGCCCCTAGGCAACAGTCCACCCATTACTGACTAGACTGGACTCTCCAGACTAGAGCGCAGATCCTGGATATCCTACACGCACGCACAGGAAGCGAGCAAACCAACACTGGATAAACAAAACGGAAGCACCTCAGTCCAAAAGAAAGGAAACAGTAAAACCTGAAACAACGGAGTAAATGGGTCAAAAGGGAGAGGAAATGATGTTACATCGTAACCCAGGCTCTCTGATAGCAAGGCTAGTCCCGTCCCTGACTGTGGTCAGAGGGGATTCGCCAGGTGGGGAACCTGGGTTTTAGATTTGGGGCTTCCACTGGCATCCTTAGCCTTGTGCAAACTGGGTGTTCACAATTTAAGCTCTGATACCATTCCTTCCTTTGGATTTGGATTTTACTGTTTACAGTCCTCAGCGCACACCGGCCGGTGTGCTGCTCCGTATGGACTTAGTGAGCACCTCACTTAGATGGCTGCTTGTAAGACAAGCCTTTGAGGCCCCAGGAGCTGTTCTTTCTGCTAGCCGGGCACCGTCTGGTTTCTTCACCACACTTTGCTATAGCACCCACACCTGCAGGAATTCATGAGGGGAGCACTGAGCAGGGCCATATCATAAGAACTAATTGTTTTTAGATTGGGGCTACAATTAAGTGTAAGCCCCAAATCCATTCATGGATTATCTATATCTTTGGTTCCCTTTAGAGACCGCATGATCATTTTGTGGTAGACAACATTATAAATCATCCCCTTGGGGCATAAGGCAACTTTATGGATAATGTCCACATAGCCCATGGTGTAGAGTTGACAGCCCTGGGGCAAAGGCACTGATGCAAGTCGAGTGGACTGTGCTCCAGGCCGACTTGTGCAGATTAAACTCCCTAAGTGCCTGGACGTGCCTGACGCCAACTGGAGGGGCGTCAATAGCCCCATTCAGGCAGAGCCAGGCGGCCGTTCTTTCCTCTCAGGAAAGGAGCTGTGGACAGACACTGCCGTCTTAGCCTTGAGATATTTGGGTCCTTTATCAGGTCCATGGCTGGCATTTGGGGGGAAATGTTACAAGGGGAGGCTGACAAAGTCCTCAAAGATTGCCTTGTGTGTGTCTACCCCCTTCTCGCGTAGGAAACCTGCCAAGACTAGGAGGGTCCCTCAGAGGAAGCCGCCACCGTCAGGGCCTGGTAAGGAGGCCGGGAGGGTCTGTCTGGCCAGTGCTTCCTGACCTCGGCCAAGGGGGCCGCTCCCGCCTGCGTGCCTGCGTGGGCAGCAAGCTTGTATTGCTCCTGCCAAGCCCGCGTTCTCGCCAGAATCTCCAAGGCCCTCAAGAAGTTAGCGCCTGTTCCTTTTTAATTGCATGTCCAAAGTCTAACAAAAAGTTAATTGAAACCCAGCTACACTAAGCAGCAACTATGGAGGGAGTCGTTGCAGCCAGCCCCTCCACGTGAGCAAAAATTTATGAAGAGCCAACTCCAGCCACGCGGCTCCCCCCTCCCCAGCCGGACAGCCGCCAGTGCCCTGTGCCTCCCTGCCCCAGAGAGAGAACGGTGCCCCGTGCCTCCCTGCCCCAGAGAGAGAGAGAGGACGGTGCCCCGTGCCTCCCTGCC